AATCCCAATTTTCCAAAGCGGGTAATCGACATTCTACTAAAAATATCTATAATATATTTGTCCAATTACACTACGTAAAATACAATTATTATGTGATCACCAGATCTTCTCTTGTTTTTACGAGTAAATAAGTGGTATGTATTGTTGTTGTATAAAAACGATTAAGCTTATTTTTTCGACATCGAATGAGGGCCTGTGCGTAGTATGAGATGTACCAAAGTTTTCGATTCCACCTATCAGATGAAATGCACAAATAATTATGATCGGCAAAGATAACAGATCGTCCATAGTAGATAAATTTTTAATGAGCTGACCGTGAAATTCGAAAAAACCAATGATTATTGATAACTTTAATGGCGCATATCCTTAACAAATGTTCATCTTCGCTGGAGAAATACAATAGCGAAAGCTAGCACAACTAAAAATTTGTTAAATCAATCAAACCACGTAAATAAAACGTAGTAAATCAATTAAAAAACCCGTGTTAGCAGAGCTAGTTTCACTAAAAAATAAAATATTATTCTTACATTTATCGAATCAAAGGTTTGTTAAGACTCTTGTATCAGATTTAGAGATGTAGTATTCTTGTAACGTCATTGAACTAACTGATTTTTCCATAGATGACACCAATCGAATTTTTCGAAGCTCTCTCAAAAATGCCATTAGAGAGTTATTTTATTTTAATCCCTATATTTATCCTCATCGTAACATTGATATTTGGAGAAAAGCTATTTATATACCTATTCATTGTCATCATATGCTTCGTTTTCTATATATTCAAACAACAAATCGATATGGAATTCAAATTATTAAAAGAGAAACGAAAAATTGAATCTAATGAAATCTATAATAAAATAGATGATCTTACCGAAAGAATTTCTTTGTTTTATGAAGAGTTCCAACAAAGATTCCAGGAAGAAGATACTTTAACTAATAATAATTCAAGTAATCGTTTAAGTAATAATTCAAACAATTTTTCAAGTAGTTCTCGAGGTAGGATCTTTAGTTATACTAAAGGCTTCGCTATTTCAATGTATAAATAAATATCTGTTACTTATAGTGAATTAATATTTTTGTATCGTATTAGGTTCAAGACGTACTTCGTTTTCAGATCCACTCTTTCAGAAATTTAAAACCCTTTTCGACGAGACCATGCGAGGAAACGATTATTCTAAAGCCGATATGATTGCCGAAGTTGTAAGTGATCTTAGAAAGGAGAAAAAGATCAAGGTTATTTCCAACAAAGCGGTGGAAAGTTATTATAATCAAACAACGAAACCCGACGCCAGGACTATAGGAGCAATCAAAGCTTGGATCGAGCTCAAGACTAAAGAAAAAAATAAATCAGCATCTAGCAATAATAATATCGATGAAGTTAGTGATGAGGAAGAAATAGAATATAATAATAGTAATAATAAATAGTTTTTCACCTGGTAGAGCCAAAGTATAGGGGCGTACATTTATGGTCTAGGGGCCGTACGTTTCTCTCCCTTGCAACCCTGCCAGTTTTTGTAAAAAAATATTAGTTATTCTTTGTAATATATTTCGCTTTAAATCATTAAAACTTTATTTTTTAAATCATGACATAATATTCGTGTGCGACCTGTAAGAAAATGTGGTGTGACTATATAAATTCGACCAATTACCTCATAATTCTTGGCGTAAAAACATTTAAATTATCTGATTATCCGATAAAACAGAAAATCTTCTTTTAGTCATGCCACGATCCAGTAGTAGTGAAGATTCAGAACATCTACAAGACCCAGACTTTCTCAGCAATTCTGCATCATTGTTCAATCTTCGAGATCTTCGTGCATTGAAAGCAAGTTTCTGCTCTACGGATGCGAACGATGTTATTCCTAGGAGAACTGGTATGTTGTATAATTCCTTTTAGCAAACTCAATACTTACGACTTAAATTCATATAGTCAGCATTCCAGAAGAGTACATTCTCCCGAATATCGACCGTGTTTTGCTCGGAAGGGAAGACCTAGATATTAGCCAATTGAGTCAAAATAATCAAGTTAAAACATTCATCAACAAATTGCACAAAGTTGTCAGGAACGCGAGACTTGATATAGGAACGAGTGAGGCTTTAACTGATACATTGGTGGCTCATTTAATATTTCTTGTTATCGACTTTAATCAATGGCCCTTGGAGGTTAAGTAAGTATTGGTGGAAATGTCTTTTGTTTATGATATACTTTAATAGTTCCTTAAAAATTGCATTACATCTGAACTTAGATTACATCCAACATTCAAATTTTCCGTTGGCCGTGCAGATTTGTCAGCAAAAGCCGAATTTGTAATTGATCATAAAAACTATTCTATATTGGTCGTTGAGGTCCGTATGTTCTTGATTGCCTGATAAATCCGTATTTTTGTTAACCCAAGCGATCTTTTTAATAGGATAAACATCTGGCTAACGTTAAGCCAAGCAATAACTATGGGGAACCGCAAATATTTGCTGAAATGCTTGCCTGCGGTGAAGAAAATACACGTCAAGCTAATATGACTTATGATGTGACTATATTTGTAGTTCGTGTAATTTCCACTTACGTTACGTTTTATCGTTCTGTGATTCATAAAGAATATTGGGATGAACTTGGTATAGGTTGCCCACGACAGCAATCAATTGAAATCTTTAGATGGCCAGGGAATAGTAGTGTTCCATTTGTTGGTTTTGATCTTGCAGAACCGTATGGAAGAAGAAATGTGTTAGAAGCGTTATGCAAGATTCGTCAATTCGTCTTAGAGTTATAATAGGACGGTATTGTTAGTTGAGATTAGTATTAAAAAATAAATTTTTAATAAGTTCTATTGCATTATACGGTCATCGATGATCAAGAATTTTCTTGGCAAATTTCAGTTATATGGTTTTTTTACGATGTAGCTTCATTGAAAATTTAAAATAAATCTGCACCTTATATAAAGTTATTATCAATCACGCAATCCGAACTTGATTTATTGAGACAAGAGAATGTCAGATGACTGTGAATTTTATTGCATTATATGGGCATTGATTATCAAAAATTTTTTCTGAAGTAAAATATACAATAAAGCAAATTATCTCAATGTATACCTTTTTAGACGAAGTCATATATTAGTGTCTGCATTCTGACAGAGTAACTCCTTAAAATTAGTCTATATGGCCCAGCTTTATTGATATATAAAAAGTGTCGCCGAACAAGAAACAACGTTCAAATAAAAAAAATCATCTTAGTTACATGATTAAAAAATTAATTTCCGGGGGGGGGTTAAATATATAATAATAATAAAAGTTGCATTTCCAACATTATCAGGATTGTAATTTTCAAGAAACCTATTTCCAATAATATTGAACTTTCTCCGGATGATCCTAGAGGTTTTATTATTATATATTATATGGAAGCGGTAGTAATGTTAAATTGATTCTTAATTTTATCTTTAGCATCTTTGACTTTGTCGCCCCCACTTAATTTTTATCGTGTGGGTAATAGTTGGATTGTAACAGATTTTAAAGTTGATTTTCAAACTCATTAACCATTTTTTTGCGTTACTAAATATAAAAACTTGTAGTTAGTAAAACATCATTCTCAAATGAAAAAAACAAAGGTGCATTACAGGCAATATACACATACCTTGAAAATAAATTACAGGAGTTAAGAAGTAAGCTTGTTTTTCTGAAAGAATCATACGAGCAATGTTATTGCTAACCGCCTTATGAGCCAAATCATCTTTATTTTATATTGTTCATTCGTTGTGCTTGAGAACCTGCCAGAAAAGAGAATAATGTGATATCATAGAAAAATGTTTTTCACCTGCAAATAACGGAATCTTTGCCCCATAAAGTAATTCTAATGTGTCATATCCGCCAAACACTAAATATATTTTGTCAGTTTGGAGGAATTAAACCTTTCGGTCTGGCGATCTCTCATTCAAAGTGTAAAATAAGCCAAAACTTGACGATCTCGGAGATGGCGGAGATCTCAACTCTCATAACATATGAATTTTGATATAAGCCAGACTCTACGTAGTATTATTGCTGATAAAGAACCTCATTCATTTCCTTTTTGTGTCTCATTTTGTATTTTTTCTTATCGAAAAGCTTTATTAATATTAATACTATAATTCATAAATATGAAGAGAAAATAATTTAGCGGTACCACAAAAAAAAATCATTGTGAAACGAATAGATATTATATATTAAATACAAAAAATTGCTATTTTTCATATATCGAATACCAATCCATATACAGTGCAAATCACTTAGTCCCACAACTTTTTATTGGTTGTGTAGATTTTCAAATTCTCCAAAAATGGAAATGCAACACCCAAAAATAAATCGTGTATTTGAAGCCAAGACCTTCCTCTGCAAAATCACGATTTCATCTCATTGGTATGTCATGTTGTTGTGGAGAATTTGAGCTTCAAAGTTGCACAAGTTTACCGAATTTACTATGTTTTAGCCCTGAAATGGCGTGTTACACACAAAAAAGTTAATATCAAAAATAGGCGAATTGAAAGAAAATAAAAATAAAAATTTTTTTTTATATTGCTGATCTTTTATCACGTGAATTTCCCAGACATGAATCAAAAAAGAATTTTACAACAAACAAAAATCATGTGACCATAGAATTTTTATTTCATTTTTGATTGGGAATTTTTCCCAAAATTGGCGGTGTGGCGCAGAAAGTTGTGGACTAAGTGACTTGCACTATACAATTATGACATCATGTTCCCTGAACCTCTTTTTCAAATTTTTTTGATAGGACATTTTTCTAGGAAAAACTTAGAGTGATGATGAGTGGCAACAGCCACCATCCTTATGATAAACACTACTTAATAATAGTGACACCACAATCATTATTATATTTTCTTTTGTTATCTGTTCTATTCATTGTTTTTTATTTATTTTTGATTAGGGATGGGAAAGCATAATGGAAATTTGTTTCATCTGATATGTTACACAGAACCTGTTTTCCTTGAAATTTCACTAGCATATAGTTTTCACTTCCAAGTTGGAGATCCAAGTGAGATCCAATTGAAGTCCAGTTTATCACCTACTTTTTATTACAAAAACATTCAATGTACCTTATGTTTTGTTGTTATGTTGATCATTTTTTAATGATCTGCAACAAATTTCCATTATGCTGGATGGGAAAGCATAGTGGACACTGTTGCACATCACAAAAAAATGATCAACATAACATATGTTGTGGTGAAAGTTCTTGCAAAAGTTTGATTATAAAAGTGTGAGATAATTTTGATCTTGCTGATGATCTGGACTTAGAGA